TAGGCCCGTGCCCGTGATGCCCTCACGTGTGCCCACACACCCCCTCTGAGTCAGAGGCCAGAGGGACCTGGGAGCCCCTCACAGCATGGACATCTGTCGTGAGTGTCTGTCAATCAGCTTACAGCACGGCACTGCCACCTCTGCTCCAGCCTGATGCCCTTTACCTGGACCCAGGCGTCTGTCTCTCCCCTAGCCAGGTCGTTCTCTGTCTCAAACCTAGAGCACTGCATGGCACTGAAGACCAGGGGCACGCCAGGAATCCAAGGGGCACAGAGCTCCCGCAGGAACCCCGTCTTCACCTCCTAGGCCCACATTAGTCTACTGAAGCCAGGATGAGTCTGAAGGAACATAAGAACAATTCCTAGGGAAAAAAAGAACATTTCTTCCTGGCCCGGCCTGACGACAGGAATGAGCAGACAGGTGGGGAGCCAGCATTCCATGCACAGCCGGTGGCAGAAGGAAAACTGCTCAGATCTTCCCTGGTGCCTGGAACCAGGAGTTTCCTGTGCTCCAGGTTAGTTAAATGTTCCCAAGAAGACACACAATCTGTGAAAAGGACACAGAGTGTGCAAGCTCCCACTGAGTCCAGGAAAAACACCCGTGGGCCTACAGCCACCAGGGGAGAGGAGGCAGAGCCCCAGAGGTCCCCAGACTCCTGGGGATTCCTCTGGGTCCTGGTATGGGTCTATAGCACCCAAGTACCAAGTGAGAGCAGGCCAACTCCAAACGCTGGAGCCTGGTTCGAACCCTGGCAAGCCAAAATAAAATCTGAAACACAAGCAGATGAACTGATGTTCCAAGGCGGAAGAAAGACTTCAGAGGGGCATCTATGGAAAGGAAGGATCCTCCACTACACGCAGCGACAAGATGACCACTAGGGCTCTATCTGCATGACACAGTGGAATCCTGCTTCCCGTAAGTTACTCCTTGCCTGCCACAAAACTACTCACACACAACATCAGCCCCAACAAGTCACCGCCACACATGGCAAACGCAGTTACTCGAGCCTGTCCGTGAAAAATCAGAATGTGCTCATGCCCCACATAGTGACCAGACACACTGGTGACTGACCCTCAACTAACCAACTCCAACTCGTTCAACAGTTTTGGTACATTCATTATTAACATGGGGTCTCAACTGCCAAACACAAACTTCCTGATCGCAAACTCCAAATTTAGAGACAGACAGAAAACACCACTAAGGGGCTGGAGAGAGCTCAATGGGCAGAACCACTTGCAGCTGACGCTCAGCACTGTGTGGTCCCTAAGCTCTGCTGGGAGTGAGCCCCAGGAGCAACACACACACACATACACACACACACACACACACACACACACGAGAGAGAGAGAGAGAGAGAGAGAGAGAGAGAGAGAGAGAGAGAGAGAGAGAGAGAGGAGGCTGATGTGGCAATACATTGCTCTGTTGCAGAAGCACAAAGAGTTCAAAGATCTTAATCTCCAGGCCAGGTTAGTCACTGGCTTTTCCAGGCCCCCAGGCTAGCAGGGCACTGGAGGAGCAGCAAGGTGTAAGAGCTGAGAGTGGTCACTGCTGCTCCACCCCTAAACTTTCAGGGTTCCATGAGGCTATAAATAGCCCTACAACTAACAGTTCCCGGAAGAAAGGAGCAGGAGCAACAGTGAGGCTAGAGATGGGCAACCATCCCCCTGGAGCCAGCATCACAGAGGGGGCTCTCCCAGATTTGCACCACACCTGCCACCACCCCTGGGGCCCAGAGGGGCCGGGATCACCACTTTTCCTCCCCATTACTGGATGCAATCGCATCTGTGGTTCTTTTACTGAATAAGCCTTAGGAGGGATTATTTTAGTGGGAAGTAAGTGTTAAAGAGAGGAGGAGAGCAGAGAGCCAAGTGATCCCAGGGAGGATTATTTTAACAGGGAGTCTAGAGACCGTGTGAGGCTTCTGTCCGCGACAGCGCACAGGCCTGCTGAGGATTCAGACCCTCTGGCTGGAAATCATTTCCTGAGTGTGCGCAGAGACCCCCGGACCCCTCTGAATAGCCCAGGCACTGGACACAATACTGCACATGCTTCTGAGCTTCATTTCCATCCTACAGCCCAGGCGCAAGCCAACAGTGGCCTGGCTACAGCGAAGGTGCTTCCTCCAAGCCCTGGCATCATCAGGGACACGAAGGGAACACTGCAGAGATGCGCTGAGATTCCTAGAAACTGATGCTCAGAAGGGCACAAACGGCCTTCGTTTCCCTCGACACGAGGTTGGCAATCAAGAAGACAAAAATTGTCCCCAAATGCTGGCAGAGAGGAAAAGCAATAGAGGGTTCCTGGAAGCCACCCGAAAACGGTTTACAGAAGACAAGCAGAGTGGATCAGGGATGAGCTGCCCACTTCCTCCCTGGGGGTCTCCAGGAGCAGGGTGGGGGGTTCCCGAGCCCCATCCAGCCACTGGGAGCAGCTATACACTCTGCCACAGGCTCAAATTACAATGTTCTCACTTTTAATAACTCATACAGGCATCAGTAAAACTTCTCAAGGACCTTTCTAGCAATTTTTTCCTTATTACTTAAATTATTAACTGGAAATAGTAACAAAATACTCTCTTAAACTGGAGCTTTACAGGGGTTTTGTGGGGTTTTTGTTTTGGGGGAATTTTTTTGGGGGGGAGGCCACACCCATCGATGTTCAGGGGTTACTCCTGGCTCTGCACTCAGGAATTCCCTCCTGGTGGTGCTCAGGGTACATTATGGGACGCCAGGGATCAAACCCAGGTCTGCTGCATGCAAGGTGACTGACTGACTTGCTGCACAATCTGTCTGGACCCTAAAGGAGAATTTTTAAAGTACTAGAAAACTGAAACCACTCAGATTTACTAGCAAAAATATTTGCTCCACTAAGGGGCTGGAGCGATTAGCACAGCAAGTAGGACGTTTGCCTTGCACGCGGCCAACCTGGGTTCGATTCCCAGTATCCCATAGGGTCCCCCAAGCACTGCCAGGAGTAATTCCTGAGTGCAGAGCCAGGAGGAACCTCTGTGCATCACCGGGTGTGACCCAAAAAGCAAAAAATATATACATACATATATATATAATTCCCTGCACAAATAACAGAACTTTTCAATGCTATTAAAATTTAAACCAAGAATCATTCTCGTCGAAAACTGCCTAAAAGGGACAGGAGAATATTTAAGTATAGAAGTTAAAGATTTACATGCTGGGGCTGGAGCGATAGCACAGCGGGCAGGGCGTTTGCCTTGCACTCAGCCAACCTGGGTTTGATTCCCAGCATCCCATAGGGTCCCCTGAGCACCGCCAGGAGTAACTCCTGAGTGCAGAGCCAGGAGGAACCCCTGTGCATTGCCGGGTGTGACCCAAAAAGCAAAAAACAAATGAACAAAAAAAAAAAAGATTTACATGCTTGTACTTTGAATTGCCTTTTTTTGTTACCTGTGAAACGATTCTTAATTTATTTTCTCAAAAATAAAACACAGGGAAGAGAGCTGTGCAGGGGAGCGAGCTCAAAGGGTGGAACACAGCAGCCTGGCGGTTGGGGGTCAGTCCCTCAACACCCCTAGGCACAGCCCAGAAATTCAAAAAACCAAGCCTTGGGGCTGGCCGGAGCACTGGCCTTACCTGCGGCTAACCCGGGTTCGATCCCAGGAAGCATGCAAGGACTCCAGAGCCCGGCCAGGGAGGAGGGCCCGAGCACCACCGGGGGTGGCCCCAAATCCAGACACACGCAAGAAAAAAAAAAGGCACCTCAATACGCGCGGGCCAACGTAGTTTCCACAAAACCTTTAATAGCGATGCCAACTCTGACCTCCTGCTAGAACTCAGACTGACTCCGGGCACGAGTCCGCCCCGAAGTGCTCTTTCACCACCCTGGAGACGGCGACCCGGACGACAGGACGGCGAAGTCACTTCTGGCGTGGGAGCTAGAACCAACTTCTTTCCGGTGGCCGTTCAGTGGGGCCGGGGCTAAGTCCCAGGACCCTCCCTCGGTCCAGGTCCGACGATGATGATGACGACGACGACCCCGGTGGTTTCTGCACCACTGGGGAGGACGAGTGGTTTCTGCATCATTGGGGAGGACGAGTGCGGGGAGGAAGGATGGCTGGATGGGGCCACGGCGAACTCCACGCCCGGCCAGCAAGGACACCACCGACTTCCTTCCGAAGTTGCATGTGCTGAAATGCTGCTGCGGGGCGGCGAGACCGGGACCGGGTCCCACCCGCGGGGTCCCCGGACCGGACCGGACCGAACCGGAATGCTTCTCTAGCGGGGGAGGCGCGGGACCCCGACCGACCGGCTGGAGCGAGGGGAGGGCTGACTGGCTGACTGACTGGCTGACTGACTGACTGACCGACCGACGGACCGACCGACCGACCGACGGACCAACCGACCCTCCTCCGGGCTTCGCCCCCCGCCCGGCCGCCCCTCTCCTCAGCCCTCCTCAGCTCCCCTCAGCTCTCCTCAGCCCTCCTCAGCTCCCCTCAGCTCTCCTCAGCCCTCCTCAGCCCCCCTCAGCTCCCCTCAGCTCCCCTCAGCCCTCCTCAGCCCTCCTCAGCTCCCCTCAGCTCTCCTCAGCCCTCCTCAGCGGCGCGCGCGGGGCGGCGGTGGCCAGGCCGCTCCCTCGGCGGCGCCCTCCGGGGCAGCGGGCGGCTCTCCCGAGCCTCTCGGGCGGGGAACACGCGAGGGCGACGCGCGGGTCCCCCCTCGCGCCCGGGGCCGGCCTGGAGTGGACACCCCGGGGGGCGCCCGCCGGCGCGAGACGCCGCGGAAACGCCGCCGAGCCCCGAGAGAACCGGCCCGAGCGCGCCTGCCGGCCCGCGCCGAGGGGCTGCGGGGCGCGGGGCGACCCCCGGCGGGGATGGGGCGGCGCGGGCCGCCGGGGCGGGGGTCCCCCGACCGGGCCGCCCCCGGGGCCCCCTTTGTCCGGGAGGGGCCCGCTCCGCGCCCCCTCCCCCGCCGCCCTCGCGGCCCGGCCCCCGGCCCCCGCCCCGCGCGCCCCCGCGCGCCCGCACTCACCGGCCGGCGCCCTCCGCGGGCGGCGCAGACGACGGGGCCCGGCGGGCGCGGCCGCGCTTCCTCCCACGCCCACGCCGCTCGGGGCGCTCGGCGGCGACGGTCGCGGCGGCCTCGGCGGTCCCGGTGCTCCCGGCGGCGGCGGCGGCGGCGGCGGGCGCGCGCCTCGGGGCCGTGCGCGTGCGCGGCGGCCGACTCGGGCGCGCGCCCGGCCGCGCCCCCGCCCCGAGCTTCCGCCTCCCGGAAGCGCGCCCCCGCGCATGCGCAGCCCCCGGCCCGGCCGGGGAAAAAGGAGGGGGGCGCTGCGCATGCGCGGGACGGTGGGCTCCGGGACCGGCTGCGCGCGGGGCGGCTCCCGGGCCCGGGCAGGGCCTCCGGGACGCGGAGTCGGGGTCCTGGGCCCCGGCCGGCCGCCCGCCCACCAGGGGCCCGGGCGCGAGCAGGAAGTGGCCTCCGATTGGTGGTAGAAAAAAAAGCCCAGCCCGCCGGCGGCCTGCGGCGAGAGCGAAACCGGAAGCGGGCAACTTTCCTTTTCTGCGGGCTGCGGTGACCCTCACCGCAAGACTGCGGGCGCGCCGGGCCCTGCGCTCCGCCAGGACAGGGCAGGCCAGGGGACACTTTTGCTTGCCCGGTGTATGGCTGTTGAAGGATTTTTTTTTTAAATTTTTCATTTATTTTTTTGCTTTTTGGGTCACACCCAGCGATGCACAGGGGCTACTCCTGGCTCAGGAATCACACCTGGCGGTGCTCGGGGACCAGATGGGATGCCGGGGATTGAACCAGGACGGCCTCGTGCAAGGCAAACGCCCTCCCCGCTGGACTATCGCTCCGGCCCCTTTAATTTTTTTTTTTTTTTCTTTTTGGGTCACACCTGGCGATGCACAGGGGTTACTCCTGGCTCTGCACTCAGGAATTAACTCCTGGCGATGCTCATGGGACCATATGGGATGCTGGGAATCGAACCCGGGTTGGCCGCGTGCAAGGCAAACACCCTACCCGCTGTGCTCTCTCTCTAGCCCCGGCCCCTTTAATTTGTTTCTGAGCCACACCTGGTGGTGCTCAGGGCTGAATCCTGGCGCTGCAGTCAGAAGTCACACCTGGGGGATTCCAGGGACCCTCTTGACTCTGCTGTGCTGGGGATCCAGCTTCGGTGAGATCCGTGCTTGGCAGTGCCCTTCCCGCTGTGCTCTCTGGCCCTCTAGGAAGTGTCTGGTTGCTTGGGGGGTTGAGGCCGGCTGAGACGGGGAGAGACTGTCTCTGCAGGGCTGGGGCGCCCACTCTGCTGCCTGCCCCTTCTTGCTCCTTCCCTGCTTAGCTCCGCTCCATGGGGCCCCAGAGCCCCCTCCTTTCCCGACTGTTCTCTAGAGTTCTCATTGTCCCCATCACCCAACCGTGTGCCTGCTAGGGTCATCAGCACCCGCCCGTCCCCGCATGAGTCACTAGCACAGGGCCGTGCTTCTGCTCACTTCTGGGGCCCTGGCGCATAATGAAATATTTGTTGGGTGAGTGAATGAAGCTTTGGGTGATGTGACAGAAGGAAACATTATAAAAGTGTAAGGGGGATAGATAGAGGGACAAAAGAGATTGTCTTCAGGCCTCATTGCGAAAGGCTGCGTTTAAGGGTCCTGGACTGATCCCCGGCAACCCTCAGATCCATCTTCTCTGAATCTTGACTTCCATCTGTCTAGTCATAATGTCTCTTGGCTGTCCAGTGCCTTCTAACACTCCAGAGACTGTTTGCCTGCTTTCTGCCCTCCTACCCCACACCCCCCACCACTCTTGGCCGCTGGGTTTGGGGCTCATGTCCCCCCATCCTGGTTACAGGGTGCATACTGTCCACTCTCATCATAGGGTGACGCTGACACTTCTAGCTAGCAGCTCTGGCTGCCCTTTACAAGTGGAGAGAGCAGGGGAAGGACAGACAGACAGGAGAAAAGACAGGTATCCTACACTAGACTCCTGTCCACCACCCTGGGGTGCCTAGGTCAGACTCTGTCCATCACCCCGGCGTTCCCGGATCAGAAGGACAGAGAACCCTCTAGGGGCGCAGAACAGTTGAGGGTTTGGGGAGTTGATAAACAGACATCACAAATCAAACATACATGTGCAAATATGTCAGATTTCAGATAGGGGACTTAATCCCCCGTCCATGCCCCCACCCCACCCCACACTGTCATGTCCTGATGATTGTCGCGGGGCTGCTGTCATCCGTGCCCTGATCTGGGGCATCTCTGTACTGCAGAGGTGGAGTCTCCTGCATCTGTGACATTAACTGTCCATCACTCCTGGCGGGAATGCTCACGCCATGGCCTCATCAGGGCTGAGAGTCAAGGCCAGCCTCTGGCCCAGCCAGGGTCCCCGCCTAGGGCTTATGCCTTCCCAGCTGAGAGACGGGTCAGTACGTAGAACCAAACAAGACAGGAGCCCTGAGAACAAAGCTCCACAGTGATGAAAAAACCAAGGGCCGTCCGATCGCCCGTCCCTTCTGTCCCTCTGTCCCTGCCCTTGCTTCCTCTCAGCAACACAGAGGCCCTCCCTGATGGCCACTGCACTGTAGGGCATCTGGTAGACCCCGGTGTGAGGCTTCATGCTCACCCTGGCTTTCCAGTTGATGGGGCCCCTCTCCCATTCCTGGGACGAGCATGAGGGGCACGGACGCCCCAAGGCCCCCCTGTTGTTGGCTTTCAGGGATTGGGAAGCAGAAACTTAGGGTGACCCCATGCACCCTGTGGGTGCCACCTCCACCTGGGAGCACAGATGAACCCTGGCTCTCCAGGTGCCTCTGCGCTCCCCACCCCGTTCCTGCCAGCGAACAGAGCCACTTCCAAGCTCACAAACACCTACTATGTGCAAAGTCAAGAACTTGACAGATGATGTCACTGCAGAGCAGGACGAGGCAACCGGAAGATCAGGGACCAGGACAGGGGAGGGTCAAGGCCAAGGTCCCCAAGCGGATCTCCTATTCTCCAAGGCCACCTTGACCCAGGACCCCACACATGGTTCTACTGGGGGGAGTGGGAAGGGGCCACACCTGGACACACTCTGTGTCCAGGTCACAGCATGTCCGGGTCACAGTCATTCCACATCTGGGTCACAGTCAGTGTGTCCAGGTGGGTCACGGACACTCTGTGTCTGGGTCACCCTCTGTCATCCTTGACCAAGATCCATATCTGGGTGGTCTCTGCACAGAATCCCAGACCTGGATCCAACAGGAGCTTCAAGCTCCGTACAGCCCAAAGGGAAGCGCAGCGCCAGCTCCTGTCCACCTCCTCCGACTGCAGCACAACCCCAGCTGTTCCATCCCTGTCACCTTGGGAGGAGGACAGGAGAGATAACAGTGCAGGTGGAGGCCTTGCCTTGCATGCTGCTATCCCAGGTTCATTCCCCGGCACCCCAAAGGGTCCCCAAGCCCTGACAAATTCCCAAGCACAGGGCCAAGAGTACGCACAGAGCACCACCAGGTCTGGCACTCAAGCCCCCCCAAAAAAGCAAAACAAGCACCGTGGGTAGTGGGAGGGGATTGATAGGGTGATGTTCCAGCATTCAGGGGGTGCTTCTGGCGGTACGGGGGGCTGTGCGGTGCCAGGGAATCAGACTGGGCCTGCATGCCAAGATGTGCTCACCCACTGGGTCATCTTCCCAGCCCCATTCCTGTGACTCTATCTCACGTCCACCGGTGAGTCTCCAAAGCTCTTGCACCGGCTCCTCCTCTGTCCCGGGGAACGGCCTCTTCTCCACAAGGCAGAGTCTGTTCCTTCAGGATGTGCAGAAGCCCGGACGGGCCCCCACCCATTCCCCATCCCCACCTGTGCGTCCTGTGGGCTCAGGCAGATCTCCCTGTGTCAGACCTTCCAAGGGAGGCGGCCGGCATCCCTCTCCATGGCTGGCACCCTCTGTCCTGCCATGGGTAACCGCAGCACCTCAACCACCGCCAAGCAGGCCCCCGTGTCTCCACGTGCGGGCCCCTCGCTCTTTCTCTGGGGTGAGGGTTTGTTTCCTTTTCTTTTGTTTTGGGTCCACACTGGTGATGCTCAGGACTGACTCATGGCTCTGCACTCAGACATCACTGCTGGCAGAGCACAGGGGACTGAGTGGGGTGCCGGGAATCGAACGCTGGTCAGCCACATACAAGGCAAACGCCCTCCGCCCTATTCTGTTACTCCAGTCCTGGGAGTGAGATTGGGGGGCCACACCTGACAGGGTTACCTCCAACCCAGTGCTGGGGGGACCATGTGGAGATGGGGGGGACCCAGGCCGCCATGATCACAGCCTGTGCTTGGGCCTCATGCCAGCTCCTGGGGCCCAGGGCCCGTTCCTCCCGCTCAGCTCCGGCTTCCCACAGGATCCCAGACAGCTGTGTCAGGTTACAGTCACTCTGTGTCCAGGTCACAGTCAGCATGTCTGGGTCACGATCACTTCGCATCTGGATCAGTCTGTGTCCAGGTGGGTCACGGTCACTCTGTGTCCAGGTCACAGACACTCCACATCTTGGTCACAGTCACTCTGTGTCCAGATCACAGCATGTTTGGGTCACGGTCACTCTGCGTCTGGGTCACAGTCAGTGTGTCCAGATGGGTCACAGTCACTCCGCGTCCGGGTCACAGTCAGCCATGTCCAGTCTCTGAGGCAGATGGGCCTAAGATGGCAGTGAGGGGTCCTGGCCCTTTTGTCTGGGGGCACAGGGTGAGCTCTGCAGGACACGCTTCCAGCCCGTGCTCCATCACATATAGAGGAAGGGACCCCAGCACCCCACCTAGCAAGGGCCAGAGAAGGGCTGAGAGCTTGCACTCAGCTCAGCTGGTCCCACGGCAGCCTGTGGACAGAGCCAGGAGCAGGCCCTGAGCAGCACCGAGGCCACCCGAATTCCCACACATGGAGAGAGCAAGAAAGAAGAGCAAGCAAAGAGACACCCCCCCACCCCGGCCTCTCCAACCCAGTACCCAACACCCAAACAGGCCTTGGGGTCCCAGCAGAGGGCACAGGTAGCAGCCCCTCCCCTTCACCTGGCAAGTGAGGGGTCCTTGTGTGACCAGGACAGGCCCAGCAGGTATGAGGCTCCCGAGCAGGACCCCAAGTTCCTCTGCCGCAGCCCCACCACACACGTGGGCTCCCCTTGCCAGCTGTTCTCTCCAGGGGCTCTGAGGGG